AAAAAAAAAAAAAAAAAAACATTCCAACGTACGAAATATTAGAACATCTGCGATCATGCGGAAAGTATTCGAAACAGTGTTTTATTCCCAACACTTGACGGATAAGCGCTTCTACCACATTCATATCACTTCTTTAATTTGCGTTTTTAAACCAGTATTTCCCTAATAAATATCTATTACGCAGCGAACGCTGGGATACAAAAGAGTGGAAAAAGTGGGGAGGGAAAGGAGTGGGAGGAAGAAATTGATCACGGTCAGAGGCAAGCTCGTAATGTCACAGCACCCTAACAGATGGTGAGGTTAAACTCGCACCAGTGACACCAAATTTTTCCAACGGAATATTGAGACCACATCGGAGACGCAGATCTCCTTTCGATCTCCTTTCTATCTCCTTTCTATCTCCTTTCTATCTCCTTTCTAATTGAAAATTCTGCGGCTAATTGACACAATTGGTGAATTGCGATCCGAGACGCAAGTATCATAATAATTTCTCTCTCGAGTTGGAGAGAAGAAATAATTAAAAAAAAAAAAAGAAAAAGAAAAGAAAAATGAGGAGAGTACGGGTGGACACTAAGTTTCGTTCCTTATAATTTATTTAAAGACTTACTTGGTTCTTAATTAGTCATCCGCGCCGACACACAGGTCCAACACGTCTCTCTTATTTCGTTTACCCGTTCACGCTTGTTCTGTCGTGGTTCCGCCGTGACGATCCTTCCGTCGGGGTTACGTGGTGGAATATTGGGCTGATCGTGCTCTCATGACTACCGATGACACAGCCTTTTATATAGGGGGCATCGGATCGATAGAAACGCGCATGGAATCACCGTGAAGCTGCAACAAGTAAAGGCGTGTGGGGTGTGCCTGAGAAAACACAGCAAACCGGAAAATTATAGACACGCGTTGGATATCAGCCACGGTGTAACCAGTGAATCCGAGTGATTAGGGAGAAGAACCGACAAATTTCAAAAGACCAGAAAATTTCAAAAGAATTTCCTTTTTCCTTTCTTTCTTTTTTTTTTTTTTTGGTTGCTTTGTCACTCTCGTTTTATGTACAGTGAGGAATAGTAATAGCACCGATGACAATGAAAAATTGTCGATAACACCGAACTGGTGTGACTTCGTAAAAAATGGATCACGTAACGCGACCCACTGGTCTCGTTTTAAAGAGCTTCTTAAAGTTTCTTACTTTCACGTGGATCGTTTTATTTGGAAGATGATTTTACATCATGTAGTGGGGGGAGAAGTGAAAAAATGTCTTTTTGGAAAATTGTAAAAATTCGAACGTGCGCTTGAGAACGTTAAGAAGTTAATAAATAATAATCTTTCGTAACTAGATTAATCATCATTTTGAAGATGAAAGTCTTCCCTTTACAACGACCCCTTAAAACTTATACTTGTTAATTTTTTATTCACACGATAAAAATTCAAGAAATTCTAATCATTCAATGTTCTAAGTTTAACAAAATTATAGAGAAAAAAAGGAAGAAAATACAGAAAATTTTAAGGATTCGTCGTAAAGAGAAAATTCAATTTTCAAGACCAAGTGAATTTAGTCATAAAAAAAATTTAACACTTTTATACGTGTTTGAATTATCATAATTTTCAAGAAAAAAAAATAACCTCACTTTCCTGCTCGCTGTATGATGTAAAATCATCTTCGAGAAGAACGAACTCACTGTTCAAGTAGAAGCTTCAAATGAATTGCTTTGAAATGAGATCGAGTAGATCATTATTATATGATCTTTACGAGGTTATATCAGTTGAAATTATAGGCAATTTTTTTATTGTTTCATTGGTACAGCTACGCTCTTCGCTGTATATTAATCCTTTCGAATAATTTGATATATATAGGATCTCTCGAAACAGAAATTTAAGAAAAAGTTCCGAATAAATTCTAAATTTTTGGAATTATTATTTTTCTAGAATTAAAATTACTAGGTTCTGCGCTGTGTAATTCTTCACCAGAATCTGATTCTCCTACCTTGGTCAATTTTTACTTTCTTCGAATTTCAAGTGATTAAGGAAAACGACAATTCAGAAAACTTCAAAAGAATCTTCTTCTGTTTTTTGTTTCTTTTTGTTTTATTATTCATTCTATACACATGTTAATCTTTTCAAATAGTTTGATGATTTGGGTCCTTTGAAAAGTCTGTAAAGAAATTTCGGGAAACTTTGAACAAATTCTAAATTGTTGTAGAATTAGAATGTTAGTTGTACATGCATCGTTCTTACAAATCACCAGGATTTGATTTTCTCTACCGTGGTCAATTTTTACTTTCCTCGATTTAGTGATTAAAGGAAACGACAATTCAGAAAAAGAATTTCCTTCTTTTTTTTTTTGTTTCTTTTTAATCATTCACTTTATACATAAATAAATGTATGTTAATCCTTTCGAATAAAGATTGATATCATAGTTTGATGATTTGAGTCCTTTGGAAGGTCTGTAAATAAATTTCAGAAAATTTTGAATAATATATTTTTCTAGAATTACAGTAATTTTTAATACTTTGAAAACTTCGAATTTTTCTAGAATCACAATGTTACTGGATTGTGTGTGCATGTAACTTTTTACCAGTTGAAATTTTTCACCAAGATTTGATGCTTTTTTACTTTGTTTATATTTTATTCAAATCTCTCCCTGTTCGACGTATTTAGCACTATCGGCGAAGTGTTGAAGATATGGTCAAAAATTGCTTCAGTGGTTTGGAAGAAACTGGAAATATTTCCATGAGAATTCAGTTATGTTGATGTTATAACTAACTCATTAAAAGTAAGCTCATCAAAGAGGAAACAGTGAAGCAAAATGTAACAGCAGTGACTGTAAATTAAAGTAAATTAAAATCTTACTGTTTATTACTCTGCATAAGTAAATACTTTTAAAAATACGTCTGAAAAAAGACACATATAAAGCACATATTGAATATTCTTTTATTAAATCTTCGAGTTTTACTGAAAAAAAAAAAATTGCGAATGAAATGATGCATATCTTTAACTGATTAAAAATGGCCGATAACGTTTTCAAGTCATGCTCCTGGAGTTTCATGGACAGTGAACTTTGACAAGAGACGACTTTTTTCAGACACTGTGTGCAATTACGTTTCAAGAAAAAGCAACTACAGCTGATCTTCTTATCTTCTTGGCTATGACAGACTTTGATACGTACCGCACGTAGCATACGAGTACAATCGCGATCAATCATACACTGAGAACAAAGAAACTTCACCAACGTGCATTTCTCAGAAAGTATATTGAAATAATCGAAACACTGAATTGCACTACGTTAAGCCAATATTATTTATTTATTCGCATTCCGTATAGAATTGTTAAAGAATGTATTAAAAATGTAACAGTAAGCGTAAGCTTATTTTATAATATATCTAATAATTTAATAAGTTATGATGCAATTTGAAACATGGATCGATACACGTCACATTTTTATTAATGCGTCTTGCTTCTTCTGTTATGGCTTCTATGCACTACACATTTGCATCTTTTTCTGATTAATTTATTACCATACCCTTTCATAATAGTTAACAAATGAAATAACTGTAAAATAATCACGTTTAAATAATATATGACCAACGGAAGATGTAATCGTTGAATTAGAATTCACTTGCGTCCGATCAAAACGAGGTTTGCTGTTATTATTGTCAAAACCATTTGCCGGGCGCTATAGTTGGATTCGAGCAATGTGAAGTGAGACGCCATTCATTCTAGAAAACCGAAACAAGTTAAGTGCCTATAGTCAAGAGATTAGAGAGAATTCTTAGATGATTCCAATGGGAATTTATTAATTTTAAGATTCCTACAATGTTGAATATCGATATTTTCGATATTGAGGAAGGTTATGATTAACGCTCGTCCGTTTTTCATATCAATTAGATGTTAAATGAGCGATTCTCAACCTTTCTTTAGCCAGGTCTCGCCTAAATATCTTTAAAATTCTGATGCTATGTCCTTGTGACACATATTATTTAAAAAGAGAATTTTTGATGTGGAGGAAATTTTAAAAGCCATTAACTTGGTCTAAACATCCGTCACAAAAGAAAAAGAAAGGGCAGTTGTAGTATCTTGAAGAAATCACTAATTGTTGAAAAAAAAATAATAATAATGAAATAAAGAGATATGACAAACAGCAAATAAAGTTTTAAAACATATAAAAGAGAGCTGAGATGCACCAATATGAGATAATTTTGATGGAAGCTTTTTCTGTGATACTTCGATCATTTTTATCATAAAATAAAATAAAATTCTAATATTAACAAGTAATAATTACAAATTCTAATATTAACAGTAATATTTAACAAATTCATTGTTAGTAACTCATTCTCGAAAATCAAATTGCCAAATCAAAGGAACCACGGACTTAGGTCAACGGAGAATGAGAAAGAGTTAATGAGTTACAATCAATGAATCAATTTCGTATCGAATGAAGTTTCGAAATCAGAATCATAGACTGCGTGAGGCATTAATTATTAATCAGACAACAACTTAAAATTATTAGAGTAAGTAACTTAAATTAGGAGAATAAGCGATGAGGATCAATGACACATAGTTTTAATTTTTGCATCGAATAAAAATGTAGGAGAACTTTGTGCATGATCAAATAATCATGGGAGGCGTTTAATTTTTGCGAACAAACCTTCAGGTTTGCAAGTTCCAACTAAAGTTTCAAACGGTGTGAAAAGATATTCTCCGCCCGCGATGAAACCATGAATTTCAAATCACACAAAGTTCTTAATAACATTCGTGATACATTAGCTTTGTTGTATAAAGCATTATGTTACATAATACTCTACCCTGCGGAGGAACTATACTTTTTAAACTATACTATATGAAACCATAAACTATACGCAAACAACCACATATACAGCATAGATCATATAAAACATTAGGAGAGTAAAATATTTTCAGAACTAGAAATTTAGTTGAAATTTCTCAGAAACTTCTGACTTATTAAGTCACTTCTGACTTATGTCATTAAAATTCTTTCTTGCAGTTAATTAAGTTTCTCCAGTATTTTGATGCAAATACAGCAGTCGTACTAGTAAAAGTGTCTCTCCTGTAATCGACCTTACTACTGGAATCGCTAAAACCGTGTAATTTTCAACAAAAAAAAAAAAGAAACGAAAATTTTAAAACAAGAACCATTTAATAAACAGCGACCATTAGGTTTGATAATGGCCATGATACCGCTTATCCGGTTTTACGATAAGCATACCAGCTATCAGCGATAACAAAAAGAGATTTAGCAGATCGTTCGATCGCGAGCAACCATGAGCAAACAGTATCTGGACGAAATTACATCTTCCAAGGAGAGAGTTTCACCAATTCGACGACCTCTTGAACCCTTAAAACGATCAAGGACAAAAAATCAGCAAACCGGAAGAAGAAGAAGAACAAGTTCTTCGATATTTTCTTACCTACATGTATATCGTGTTTCTGTGCGATAATATTCATCAAGTTGGTTAATCGACTCGTGAGATAATCCCAAGTGCAGTTCAACGTTCATTAATTAATTCGACAAGGTTCCTTCGCGCAACGTCGTGAAAACAAAACAAAAAAAAAAACAGAATACGTTTTAAACTAATAAAGATAATACTCTGAAGAGAAAATGAATCTTAATCGCGTAATCACATCAGGTAATTTCTATTTTCCTTCAATAATATTAAACGTAATTGTTATCGAGTTGTCACTGTCGTCGCCAAGAGAAGACGCAATGAGCCCATTGTTTTCTGATTTTCCAATCTTCATGTTACTTGGAAGCTAAAAAGAAATTATTTTATTAGTAATTAACTAGCCGGAATTGTCGATGAGATTAAAGCCTAGAATTTCCATCAGAGACATTAAAATCAAAATAAAAAATATAATAGAGTAACTTTAGAGTACAATGGAATATACAAGTATTTTCATTTATATATTTTATCAAAAATTATTTAAGAACACACTGTTGTTACCTCTATGAAAATATTGACTGGTTATTTTTACTGCTTTGGTAATTCCAGTGTAAGTTGTTAGATACAAAAATATATGTAAAAGTAGATGAACATAGGCGTATGTAGTTGATGTTATTTTTTTAACCGACAGAACAGATCTGTTCTAAAACTTGTCATACTTTCCTCCATAGTTTTCACACGCAAACGTGGTGAAAATGAAAATTACGTAAGCCTTGCAGAATCGTATTAGTTACATGGACAATTTGCTGCAAAGTTAGTTACGTTTATTATGAATTTCTATCCATCATGTTTTCAAGAACGTAATAACGCGCAACCCGTTGATGACAGAGTTATTTGGTTCATACCCTTGCAAAGTGAGTCAGTGTTCAAATGAGTTTTTATAATCATGCAGAACCAAACCAGGAAGACGTTCGATATATAGAAATGGAACAGAATCCAGTGTTCACCATACCCTCTGTTTATTTGAGCCCAACGGTCATTACGGCACAACCACAAGGTACATCACCTGAAATGCAATCAAATATGTAAAACATACTCGTACACTATTAACATAATATTTAATGATTTATAACTAAAATTATAATGATAAGTAAATAACTTCGTGAACAGTAAGTAATTTATGCATTTATGGAAAATTTGAGAGATGTATAAAATGTATAGATATGTAAAAATATGTAGTCAAACCGTAGTGTATTCGCTATAGCTTCTAAGCCTCTGCTTATTGTTAGTTTCATCTCTATAATTACATCCATAAAAGCGTGAATTCGTGTACATCAAATTTGCGATAAAAAATTTACTAAGAACGACGGATACGTATGAGATAAAATGGTTTCATTAAATTCGTACAGAAGATAGACGGAACAGAGAAAGAAGACCGATTCCTGTGAACACGGTGGAGTGGATATCAACGCCGAGTTCGCAAATGACTGCAATCTCGGGAACTCAATTCCTGAATGACGTGGAACAATTGGAGATTCAGCAGATTATTGATCTCAATACATGTTTGTAACTGATTATACACTAAGGATATAATGTAGTTAAAGAAAATCCATTGGTATGCATCTATTCGGTTATTGAAGTTAAAAGATTCTTTTTTTTTTTTGTCTATTATTAACAGTAACAAATAGTAATTTTGGTTTGGAGAAAAAATAGTAAATGTAAAGGGGTTTAATGTATTAATAAATAGTTAAGTAGACGGATGAAGATGAAATAATGATCATATCATTTCATTATTTAGATTTATGCTATCTAAATTTTTTATTTTATTTCCCAGATCTTTCATTAATTTAAGAATTATAATCAATATTGTGTAGCTATATAACAGTATATGTAGCTATATGATTTGTTGTATTGTCATTTATTATGTCTCTATTTATTAGTTAAAATTTTTTCAATTTTTGTTTTTATTAATTTCAATTGTCATTTATTAATTAAAACTGATTTGTTATGCCGTTTATGTTATTAACTGTTTGTTACTGTAATGTTTACTATTTATTTATTGTTAATTTTCTATTGTTATTTAATAATTAAATTTTTTTTACATATCTTTTTCTTTCTTTTATGTTTTTTTTTTTTTTTGGAAAATAGAGTGAAAGATTCTACGTGATTAGGAATTCTTTTCATAAAAAAAATTTTCTTCCTTTCTCTGACAGTGCTCGGCAGATTAAAAAGGAGATTCCACTACAGAGTAAAAGTACCGAGAGCCGAAACACTTTTCCTAGCCATGGACATAGGGCAAACTGAAGAGGCAAGCGGCTGGAATTGCTCCAAACTGTTCCGCGAGAATTTTACATTGAACGTCATGGATCAATCTGGCCAGAAAGCCTTCACCATGATCGTGAGATCCAGGATCGCGTATATGATCACCAAATTGCATGTAAGTAGCGGGGGTTATGAGATCGGTCAACCAGTTTACTGTTCGACAAAAAAAAACGAACATTTCATTGCACAGAGCATAAAGGTGCTGGATCCGAATTTAATTGGCGTAGTGGAACAAAATTACCGTCTAATGGGTGTCTGTTTCACGGTCTATAATGCAGAGAAAAAAGAACTCTGCCATATAGAAGGGCCCAATGTTAGTGGTTGTTGCATATATCCAGAAACACATTTCAAGGTACCGTCTGATTTTTGTCTGAAAAAGAAAACATTATATATATTTTTTATTTAATACACATTTTTACATGTATTGATACATACATATAAAGCAATAACGTATCTCCAATCACTTTAAATATCTATATGTATCCATATGTGTATGTACGTGTACATACATATATCTATTTATATATTTATACACATTTTTATGTGTATCTATATACATTTAGTTTTATAATATATATTGTATGTCTGTTTTAAAAATATATATAAATAACATATAAATAGCAATAACATACTGATGACTAAATTAACACATTAGTAAATATCTCTAATCGCTTTGAATGTCTATGCGTATCTATACATAATAAAATCTATTTATTTTTAATGATACGAAACAATTTAATATATATAAAACTCCAAATTGTTCACGTTACCCTCTCCACTGTATCGATTTTTCCACTGAAATTTCCTCGCCGCACTGCATGAGAGAGTGAGGCTCATTTCAATGTAGTGGGAAGATTGATGCAGTGGAGGGGATAGCGTTAGCAATCAGGAAAGTGGGGGAAAGGGGGCCGCCAGTTAGCCATCTCTGATTTAGAATATCGAAAGTAATGAAAACATTCAAGCTATTGACGTTATTAAGGTACCTTGAATTTTATGTATCATTCGCATTATAACGCATTGATTTTCGTCAGGTGATGTCGATCGACGGTAGCCATCAAATTGCGTCCCTCATGCATTTGTGGGACTCTATACTCCACGAGTACATTCTGTTGGTTACGTTTACCAAAGATTTGGACATGAAGCTAAAAAGTTTACTCCTCGCCGCAGCATTTCTCGTGGTAAGTTTTTCATTCTTTCGCTAAGAATTAATCTACTTTAAATCAAGATCAGAGTACCTTTTCGCCAACTGCTAGGAAATTTCATCGCTTTTTTTTTTTTTTTTTTTTTTTTTTTAGGAATACGTGTACTTCAAGGAAGAAGCCTCTTCCGAAGGTAGAGTATTATCTCCCACAATGTAATGAGAAGATGGCCTTGCGAGATGGCTCATCTGAAAGAGAAAATGCGCATCGTTCGATTTTGTGCGAACGTCGACGACGAAATCTGTTTTGAAGATTTGAGAATGTAAGTTCCAAACATTATGAAGAAACTGCCGTAACAACGAGTCTACTTCGCTTCCCGACAATTCGAGCAAATCAACGCAGACCTTCGCAACTTGGAGCGAAGATTAAAATCAAACTTGCTATAAACTCGTGATCTTCGAATATGAAGCTTATACCTTTCTTTCTTTTCCAATAAATGCAATTTAAACACCGGAGCTTTTATTGCTACACAAAATTCAAATCCAAATCCCATCACTCCTCAGGATCAAATTGGTTAGCGATACTTTCTTCCATCTTTTGTTAACAATTTCTTACTTGATATTCTATCTCCTCGTTGAATCGCTGATTTTTTCAGGAATTTTCTCATGACTTTTTTTCTGCAGTATACTAAAATATATAGTAGTAATTATAAAATATAGTAATAATATAATAATTATAGTAATAAATAAATAATTATAGTAATAATATAATAATTATAGTAATAATAATACAATAAAATTTGAAGAGAACTTGAAGAGAGTTACATACCTTTAAATAATTGCAAAATAAGGAAAATTCAAAATTTTGTTGGAGATAAAATTATATTTCACTGAAAAAATAATACGTTTATCTTATTATGTGCTGTTTAATTAGTAATTGCTAAAAGTTTGAACCAAATATACGAAAGTAAAAGGACATGGCAGCTATCATTTAGCTATGGTCATTTCATCTCGAGACACCAGGTATATCTCCGCGAGCTACCCGAAGCAAATTTTTTTAATTTCACGCTAAATTGCACGGGAGAGGCCAATACTTGTCGACGCTGACTTTTTAAAGTATCAATTTTTTTAGAAAAGAAATAACAGCTACCTGAAATTGGGCGTTTAATTTCCGTTGTAAATTTTCAACTTCTTAAATAAATAATAATAAAAATGAAATACGCGAATCAAAATTTCGCTTCGTCAAGTACATATACAGCCTTCAGAATATTACGAAACTGATTCAATAGTCTTTCGAAGAGATTTCGAAAATTTCATTCAAACGAGAACGTTTTTTTAAAGTTTCAGTTATTCGTTACCATTAGATACTGACAAACACTTCAAATTAATTACTTTCTATAATATGCAACTAGAATACTCTAGAAAAATTACAATTTTTGAAACATCAATTATCTATAATAATAATAATTTATACAATTATATATATATGACATTACAATATAATATTAATTATATACGTTATAATTAATGAATATAATGTATACATATAAATTATTGTAGATAATCGATGTTTCAAAAATTGTGTTATTGTATATATATACATATGACATAATAACATCTCACTCTTCTGTCAAAATATTGCTTACAAGTCTTTCCCTAAATAAAAACGATACACAATGGTCGTACGACACACGCGTTAGAAACTGATGTTTATATATTTCAAGAATCATTTATATATTTCAAGAACTGATGTTTATATATTTCAGTCGTAACGTGCACTTCGAAATATTTTTGACAACGCAAGATTTATAATCGTCAATATGGTAAATAGAAACAGAACTTACGATCCGTAGTTTTCAGTAAAACAGCACAAGCAGAACTATATTGTTTAGAGAAATTTGTGTAACGAAAGATAACGAACAAATGATTAATAAATAAAACAATTCGAAGTGAATCAATTAAAAAATATCACTCTATTGTAATCCAAGATTTCAAATGTATCGAAAAACTGTTGTCGTATAGTACTTTTATCATTGCTGTAATAACTATGCGCGATAAATTGGTGCGTTGAATTTTTTAATTTTCTATGTTGGTATAATTAGACGTCACATGCTAGGAGTAAACACTAGAATGTCTCGGGTTTCAACTTTTTTTTTTGTCGTCTTGATATGTAAATTCGATTCTACGAGCACACCCAATGTATTTTGCAACATATATAATATAATCGGATAGAAGCTTTTAAATAAATAATTAATATCTTAAGATACCACAGTAAATGAAATACCTTTATACACCGCACGATCGTAACATATAATGTAAAAGACAATCTTAAATAAATGGCTATTATTAAAAGTACATATGTATATAAAAAGTGTTCATTAAAATTTGTTTAGTCAGATTTACACAATTTACCTTCTTCACTCTTCCCCTATCTAATAAGGACCTATATATAATGATTTCCTTAGCAGTATTTTTAATACATTTTATCTCTCGTCTCTTTTGTTTTCCACCGCGTTGTATCTATTCGCTCATTTTATTGAGTTATGGTCAAATCAATTACACTCAAGAATTATATTCTATTTGCGAGAATTCGTCAGGTTGAATTAGCTATTCGTTTTTACTCGAAAAGAATATTATTATTAACATTATTAAAATAACAATAAAATAATTAATAGCACGAATAAATGATATTGCAATATTTATTACTAATGTTGTGTTATTGTTATTACTTTTCTATCGCTACTATTATTATTATTTTATTATATTATTATATAAGTATATATAATAGTTATATACAACAGTTATATAATACATAATAATTATTATTACTATTATAGTATAACTGTTATATAATACTTATCTAATAATGTAATATATATATATTACATTACATTATTGTATAAGTATTATACAATAGCTATATACTAGTGACTAATAGTAATAATAACTATTCTAAATAATGATAATATTAATAAAAGTAGAAAATATATTATATTACTATATATAATAATACCAACTACTATAACGTAATTATTATTATTACTTAACAGTTTTGCTCACAGCGTGATTTCAAGTGACCTGTTTATGACGCAATGTATATTCATATACCTCGTCGATGGTTTTTGCATGTATGAATGTCTTCTTTTTCTCTTTCAATGCCAGTATCATTTTGAAAGTCATCATAGTTTAAAACGAAGTCGAGTCAACTGAAATACCTGTCATAAAATTGTGAAAAATATCAATATCTAACGTCAGTGAAGTGCTTAAATTCCAAAAATATATTGCCAAACTTCCTTTTTTTTGACTGCATTTGTAAGTGGCGCTTTACAAAATGGTCGATCAGATTAAAATTTTTGGGAAGTAGCGAATAGGGAGGGGACGATTTCATAAATATAATACAAATGTGAAGAAATAAATATACATGTGGAATTCTTTGTAAACATTGATTAACTGTATCATGAACGAGTTGATAATAACGACTGTTACGCAGAAATTACAATTGCATTAATATGTTTATAGAGATAGGTTTAGAAACTTCAATACAATGTCATTTAGAAGTACATCTTTCTTTTCCTTTTTTTAGTAATATGGATCTTATAGCAATCGTTGGCTTAATAACTATAATTTACACTCTCGTTTATATGCTTTGCCCCTGGTTCTTGGATTGTGATTTAAATCTTGCTTTTCATGAGAGATTTGGCAAACCTATAAGTAATGCTGATTCGAAAAAGAATAGTCTTGAAACATATTAAAGTAACATTATTTTTAGATAAGTTTTTTGACATTTTGACATTTTGACTAGGTTCTTTGAAAGACAAAGTGGTATGGATAATAGGAGCTTCAAGTGGAATTGGAGAACATCTTGCATATGTTTTGGCAGAGAATGGATGCAAATTAATTTTATCAGCACGACGGAAAACAGAGTTGGAAAGAATAAAAGATAATTGCTTGCAAAGTAAACTTTTAATAAAACCAGTTATTATTTTATTCCAATATTTTTGTTTGACTTTAATATACCAATTCATTTGTTTTCAGGAAATCCAAATTTGAAAAGTTGTGACATTGAAGTATTAGTATTGGACATTTGTGATTTAGATAAGCATGAACCAGCATTTAATAGTATCATTGCTAAATTTGGCAAAGTAAATATATATTCAGTGCCTCTTCACTGCAATGATTCATTATGACACATTTTTAATTAATTTCAGTTGGATATACTTATGAATAATGCAGGACGATCTCAACGAGCGTTGTGGGAGGATATTGAGATATCTGTTGATAAAGAAATGTTTAACTTGAATGTATTTTCACAAATAGCTTTGTCTAGATTGGTAGCAAAATATTTTTGCGAGATGAATGTAGGTCATTTTGTAGTTACATCTAGCGTTGCTGGTATCACAGCTGCACCATTTTCTGCTACATATTGTGCAAATAAATTTGCACTGAATGTAATATATCAGTTGTACATCATTATTAATTTATCTGTCTGCATATGTAAATATTGAGAAATGAATATTTGTTGTTTATAATAATATAGGGTTATTATAAAACTTTTGGCCTAGAAAAACTGGGTAAAAACATATCGATTACAATGATATGCCCAGGACCAGTGTATACTGATTTTTTGGCAAAAGCATTTACAAGCAAAAGTAATGAAGTAAATATAATTGTAATTTAATATTTATAATTATTATTATTATTTATTTCTTTATAATTCTCTCTTTATATAATTCTCTCTATAGGTATATGGAGAAAATACAAAAGATGATACAACGAAAAAAATAAGTGCAGAACGTTGTGCTACATTGATGGGAATTGCAATAGCAAACAAACTTCTTGAAGTATGGATTTGCAAACCACTTGTACTTCAATTGATGTATATTAGCATTTATTATCCAAATGTTGGACAGTGGTATGTTATCCTTTATAGAATTTTATAAAATTGTAGGTACTTTATAAAATTATTTCATATTTTAGGATGATAAAGAAAATAGGAACAAAATTTCTACAATATTTGCGCGATAGTAAAACGATTAAAACGAATACCAAAGAAAACCAATAAACATATATCTTTTTTTATATTACAATACTTATATGTTTATTGAAAATATATTTTGTTTATAATTATAAATATATTTATTTATAATTATAATTTTTACATATATTCTTACTATAAATTAAATAATAATAATATTATATTTTATTTTCTGTAAGTATATTATCCCTCTACTTCTCTTATTATTCCTTAACGCCTTGACATATGAATTAAATGAAATTAATTAAATTAAATTAAATGAAGTAGCTAACTTAGAATATAGAGTATCAACATTGAAAAAAGCCATGTCAAGCATGTAGAAAGATATTTTTTTATATTCTTATGTACGTATTAACCTGTGAACATCTAAAAGACATCATTGTTGATTTTAGGTTAGGAAACGCATGACGTCTCCGGAATATTTATAAATATTCCAAATTCCCGTAGTTTTATATGAGCATATTCTCAACATTCCTGCATATTAGCAAACAAACTAAAACTAAAACTAAAACGCTAGAATATCATGAACACGATCATGATGCATGATATTATCAAGACGAGCAAATAATAGTACAACACGAAGCGCTATATAATGTTTCAAATCTATCTTGTATTTCTTCTAAGGCGTGAAATATTTTGTGAAACTAAACTACATATTGACATTGAAATTTTTGGATGCATCCTTGCTTGTGATTTTTATAGACAAAAAGACAGGGGTATTTTATATACTTTTAATAAAATAGTAGTTGTCTCTTGAATGAAAGGCTACGTTTGTATGTAACTCTTAACAAGTGTATATTTTTACATATATAAATTTGCAATTTGTTTAATGCTGTGATGAAAATGAGCGGTGAGGATGATTGGGATGTAGAACGACACAAGACAGAACACGAATGCGACGAACATTGGGAACTTAGGCGAAAATTTCTTTTGGCGCATAAAGACAAATTTCCAGAAGACGAACTCGTTTGTTTAGCTCAAGTGTTTACAAATGTGGAACTACTTGGATGCAGGTAATATATATACATTTTTATTTATATTTTACAAATTGTACTACACACACACACACACACACACACACACACAGTTATGCTATATATATATATATATATATCAGATCTCAAATGTCAAACTTTGCCAATATTTTCAGATCATTTTGAACAAAAAATGTTGCACGTACCATAAGTCGATACGTCTTAGTTTTCCAGATATGAAAGCAAGTTTAATATAAGTAATGAAATATGTTGAAGTTAATTAATTTTCAATGATTATCAAGGGTGTACTTCAGTGATATTCCTAATGAATTGATAGAAGAAATCAAAGATATGCTATTAGTATCATTCTTAATAATTTTGATAATGTACAATGAAACACTTCATATTAATCTGAATCAGTATCAATTACTAAGAATAATTTGAGACAATTGTTTGAAATAAATGATAATCATTAAATTTTTTCTTTCATATATTGAAAACATAGATAATGTGTATAACATTTTTTGATTAAAATGACCTCCCAAATATGTTGGTAAAGTTTGACAGTTTAGACTTGAAACATTCTGTATATTTCATAAATCATTAGTTTGCTTTATTATATATTTATACATGTGGAATAGCTCATGAAAATATTAAAATATTTTAAATAACCTTTTATAAATGTATTATTTATATTATATGAAATATTTCAAAACTGTAATGAGATTAGAGTATCGTGATTATATTAAAAACCATGTATAATCATAACTATAAGAACCTAACCTAAAAGAAGAAATTATATACAAAAATTATGCTATTTATAGTAAACATATATTTAATAAAAAAAAAAATTCTAAGTAGTACAAATAATTATCTCAGAAATATAAGAAGTATTAAAAATGCTATATACTTAAAAGTTTTCTATGGTAAATGTTTAAATACCTTTTTGAAGCACTATACGTGTATTTTGATATTTACTTTTAGGTATCCTAAAGAGACAATGCAACTAATTGCAGAATTAGCTGAAGATATTGTTGGTGAATACAGAGAAAAACAAAAGTCTAAGTTGAAAAGAACATTTGTTAAAGCATCAGATGCTGCTAGTTCAAAGGTTAAAGGTATATGTAAGAACTGTGAGTTACATGTTAAGTATAAAACAAGATCTCTTTCATAAAGCAAGTTCGTTTCTTAAAAACTGATATTTTAGGAGGTACTGTCCCAACATCCACCAATACAGTTGAGACATCAACACAGTCATTAAGTACAAGATCAGTTCATAAATCGGAATTTAACAGAATACCTTTTAAACAAAAAAAATTTAACAAACATCCATTTCGTGATATTGTTATAATTAAAAGACCTAGAGATATACCGCAAAGTACACTTTCTAATGCAGTTAATATGTCAGGTGGAAATTTGGAATGGAAATTTGATAAAATCAAGGACTCTTAGTATGGACATTTTTATATCCTTTCCTGGTTTTTTGTCGTCAAAATTGTTTTATTCTTTTTTTTTCTTTTACAGCAAATGCAGTATTTTTATCAATTCAAAACTGATAGCAACAGCTTGTAATGTCGATCAAAAATCAGCGAAGAGAGATGCATCCATCATTGGATTGCAAGAACTACAGAAGTATTATTATACAATTAAGGTAAGAAAACAAAAAAAGAATTTCCTATTTTCATCTATGTGAAACTGTTGCTAAAGCTGTGCTTTAACATCTAGATTAAAAGCAACGTAAGACATACTAATGTAACTACAGCAACAATAAGTAAAAGAACATCGAAAGAAGATTCTATTTCTGATGACAATATTGGGAAGAAGATAATGAAATTAATGGGCTGGACTGGTGGTGGTCTTGGTAGATCACAACAGGGAATAGTAGAACCCATCGTGTAAGTAAAACCTTTATTTTGTTCTCTGAAGCATTTTATAAATATCAATTTCACATTCACAGGGTTAACCAGCAAATTAGTAGGGAAGGTTTAGGATTAAAACGAAATTTTTCTCCTACGGACGATTTAAAACATAAATGTAAAGACATCATGGGGAAATTTCTCTCAGGTGACATGAAAAATGATTTGATATTTTCTGCTGACTTTACAAATGATGAAAGAGCAGTAATCCACCAGTAAGTGTACAGTTGTTCAAAATGATCATTGAAATTCAAAATATTAAATATATGTTTCAATTTGTTTGCAGGGTTGCAAGACAATTGGGTTTGAAATCGCACAGTTATGGTCCCAAAAGTCAACGAACTTTAGTAGTTTCACGAAAAATAGACCCGCTAGATTTAATTGAAGAACTGAAAAGTTTGGGCGGTGACACTAACAAATATCAGTTACTCGAACCAACTGAACTGTAAATAAAGAAACTACGTTTATCTTTCCAGAAATCTTGTAAATTTTACACCTAAGTATAAATACCAATTGCAAATCATAAACTTCAGGCTATTATAAAAGTCAGATTGAAATATAGTAACATTGTTAATATTATATCACCATTCAGTTCTTAGTGTATAAGTTGAAAATATTCAAATAAAATTCATCGAAGAAATTGAACCTTGTGCCGTTTCTGCTTCATTTATTGCGTAGTGGACAATTTTCAAAGAATCTCTTAACAGTTTGGAGAAGAACATTACTGGCTATTGCGCAATTCCATGAAATCCCGATTCTCCGAATGTATCTTTCGTATATCCACATTCACAGACGAAGCTCCTTAGGCTGATTTTTTGTGATTTCGATGATCATTCAGTAGGAAGGAGAAGAAATTTTTATGAAAGCAGAAATAGAATATTTAATGGTTACAATAATCACGAACGATATATATATATATATGTGGTCAGGTACAATTTTAATTTCGTTAAATAAATCTGAAAGAAACATTCACTTTATTTAATGATGTTCGCGCGCTGAACTTATCTCCAAAAAACATTGTATTTTGTTTTAATTAATAGAAGTACAAAATTTTAAGAAGCAAGATCGCTTACAAGTGTACGGTACGTCGCAGTTGCCGTATAAGAATTGCTTTGGCAGTAGAACAATCAGAAGTCGAAAATAACATAGATACGATGGTGTGTGTGATTTTTTTTTTTTTTTTAATTACGTTATCACATTCTTTAATTCTCGATAACCAAGACGAAAATGCTCTTTATACATATACGTGACACGCTGTGCATCTCGTCGACTGGCAGAAACGTTCGACAATGCTTGTCCACGCTACGTTACGTGTTTAACGAAAGTACTCACTTGAAAAAATATCACTCTTTCTTTTTAAAATATCCTCTGCCATAAATTGAAAATTTAATTCACTTCTTTTTTCTTTTTTCATTTTATGCGGTAACTGGTAATCCTTTTAGTTGACATACATCATGGACGGAGTGTATAGATATGTTCTGTTACTATGGTTCACAATTTATCCAATCTGCTTTGTTAAAAAAGTAAAATCCTGAAATTATTAACTTTAAACACTACCTTTTGTTCCAGTCTCGGTCACTGTCCAGTGTACTGATCGAATAATGACACATAAATAATATAGTGTGTGCACACCTAATACTAAAATTATTACATTATTAGTGAAATCAATACTAGATACATTAGATGGAACTTGACTTTGCTTTCCCTTTGGTTCAAATCATACGAAAGAAGAGCAGAGACGGGTGATCATTCGCTGTGAAGAGAACAGAGAAACGACGATGTAGCATGTACAAGCATCTTAATGCCCGTCGCTCGAGAGCGATAGATACATATCGCGTCGCACATCGTACGCGTTTGGATTCATCAATTTACCACCAATTACCACCAGAGATGAACGGCCTTATATCTTAAATATAACACGTCAAAATTGAGGGCAAAGGTGGGAGGGGGAGTGGAGGGGGTTCATAGATCAGGATCAAAGCATTCGCGACGCGGAGATTCGCAGCGCCTTGATCCTTTGAAAAAAAGCTTCGAACTCTAAAGCTTACGCAAACTTCCCTCGGGATTCTGTCCTCGGTCCAGGCCCTACTTTGAACCGTAATTGACACCTAGAGGGAACGTTACATACACATACCTCTCTCCGTCATTTTTTCTTCGTTTTTCTTGTATATATCAAAATAATATATATATATATATCTACTATCTGATAAAAGTGACTTCTTTGTTGATATGTAATTATATATATATAGACTTATTTATCATTAATTAGAAGATATGTCAGTGGTTGACTAGAAGATATTACGCTTGATGTGTCTTTACTTATATTGAAGTCTCTCTACAATGGAGCCAAGCTTGATTGTTCTCCATTTTGTATATGATGTATAATATTTATAGAGATATTTCATTTCAAAATCTGTATCTATCCAGACCATAGATATCTGTATTTCTCCAGACTATAGAAAAAACTAAATCTGGAGAATTGGCTCCCAGAGAGAATTCGGCACACATCTCTCTAAATTAGATTACTGATATGTATCTATATTGATATGTTGTGTTGCGTTACCGTAATGAAAATATTAATACATCATAGCATTGTATACTTGCTTCTTCATCGTCATCATCATCACCATCATCGTCATCATCATCACCATCATCGTCATCATTGTCGCCTTCGTTTTCTTAAGTAAAGAACACGTTCTACCCTGAAGGAACGCGATACGATGCTCAATTTGTACCTGCTTCACTTTTCTTGCTTAAAATAGAGATATATATATATGTATGCGTGTACATAGATTTTTATATACATATGCCTATGTACGTATACATACGCGTATGTGCATGTGTACGTGTAACTGTATGCATCTTCTCATATAAATGATTGTATGTGTATTTTGTATTTGAGCTAAAGATCAATCATTGTTCGTATATAGCAAACAAATTTACACTGCGATCTGCAGATTAAATTAACCGGAATCTAAAGCAAGGAAATATATAATAAATGAATCGAGGCAATTGTCTTAACCTCTTGCGTTGACTGTTCTTCGAGTCCTGTCAAGATCTATACGTTGTGTCGTAGCAGCATTTCAACGGATCGATTCAAAATTCTCCCGACTATCGAAGATTTTCGCATCGATCTCTCCCACGTGTCACTTCGCAAGATACAGATCAAATCACATACACTGAGAGTTTAACAGAACATAGTCGAGGTAAAGAGTCAGGCTTATCTACGTATTTCCGTTTGGTGCGTATCGACGAGGATCGATTGTACACAATTTCACTCGAGTGAAACAGCAATGACTACATTCTACACAGACAATTATTAAATTCACAAAGACCGTGTTCTAATCACTTCCCTGGTACTTGGAATATCAAAGCAACGTCTCTCGAGTATGCAATGAAAGAGGTATTGTTCAAGGTTTTTCTCTGATTGTCCCTTACTTACTTATTTGTGAATAATTATATGTGCATATATTTTGTAATATCTCGCGAGATATTGATTTAATCTAAAAGTTTAGCAAGATCTGGAGACAAATCTTAATCTCGATACGACCAGAAACTGAAATCCGTAAAAGAACCTTTGGTACTGTACCAGCAGTAATTATATCCGAGTTCACACAAGCATGTAAATGTGCAGTAGATGACATATATATATATATATATATATGTAATATATAATGTATGTATATATTGTACAGAAAAATATTGTAACGAAAAACACGTGCAGTGTTCGAATCGCAAGGCAGATTTTGCGCATGCATGAGTTCTTATGTACGTGTCGCGTCACGTCAAATATCACGAACATTAGCCACCAAAGCACAGCTTCGGCACAATATATAGTAAAATACAGAGTGCAACGGGAGTCTGACGATATGGTGGAAATCGAGAGAGTCAATCTTTGTCCACGTTTCAGTGCCAGGCCTGTGTTGCCGAAAACAAAAGCATCCAAATTTTCGAAGGAAATTGATCCAAACTTGGATTTCTCCGAAATTCGTCAATTATCGATTAAAATTACGTGTGTATTTTTTTTTTTAATGTGAAAAGAACCGACTAATAAAAATATTCCGTGGATATTCATTTTCGCAGAGTATTTCAAAATGTTTCATGTCTCGGACGATGATTGCATGTCAACGACGCCGGGCCAGTCACGAAAACAGACTGACGGTTAATTAGTATCGATCGTACGCTACACAACGGAGTGTTCCGTAAAACATAATTAATGTACCCGACAGTTACGAAGGTTGTGTCGTCTCCGTTGCGTGGTCGCCCACGCACGAATCCCCACCGTTCAATTATCCTCGTTACGTTTTTCTTTTTTCTTCTTTCTTTCATTCTGTACATTTCTCGTTTTTATATCTCGCAAAGATAGAACGGAACGTTCATCGAGGTAAAACGCGTGTCCATCGCAGCGCGAAAATGAATGACGTCGCGTCGATAAAGGTGCATGAATATAGGTGCAAGCATCGACCCTTGACATTTGGCAAAGTTTAAACATTCAGCACTCCCGTGCCTCTCGATAATGATAGATATCTTAACTTATCTCGGTGCTCGCTCGATGTGTTCTTTGAAAAGCGGGGAAAGCAATGGGATGACATCGAAAGCTT